CATGCATTAATCAATATTACATTTATCATTATTTAATTTCACTGCAATTTCATTATGATTGTTGTCTATTACTTCATAGAGAGAAGTATCATCTGCAAAAAGTTTTATTTTACTTGTTACTCATTATGCTATATCATTAATATAGATTAAGAAAAGAAACAGACCAAGGACCGAGCCTTGGGGTACACCGCTTTGACATGCTTAAAAGTTGAATAAAACCGCTCTGTTGATACTCTTTGCTTTCTATCAGAAAGGTTATTACTAAACCATTGTAATATTTTCCCTTTTATGCCATACGATTCCAATTTAAAAATAAACCCTCATGCCAAACTCTATCAAACGCCTTACTTACATCACAAAATACAAATCTGATTTCATTATTTTGATCCAAGTTATTTACAATAGTGTCATATATAGATAATAACTGGTTTACAGTCGAGTCTCTTAGTAAGAAGCCTGATTGGTGTTTCGTATGTTGTCTAGAAGGAAGGGAAAAGTATTTTCATGGGGGGTAAGGGGTTCAAGATTTTCAGAAGAAGTTGATATTGAGCTGAAGTAGTTATTTAGACATTCTGCTTTTTCAAATGGATGATGTATTAAGTCTCTCCTTTTCATTTGATGATGATGATGATATGAATGCGTGAATGTCCTATAATGTATATGTATATGTGATGAAAAACTTATATAAAAATAAAACATTACAAAAAACAAAAGCAAAAACTGATTGGGTTCATAGGGTAATTGGAGGTAACAAATTCTGTCAGGACCTGTATATTAATAAACCGGGTTGTGGGGTGTGTCAAACATTATTAGGTCCTATATATTGGGTACACCGGGTTATTGGAGGTTTAAAACTATATAAGGACCTAAATATTGGGTACATCAGGTTATTGGGTTGTCCAACATTGTGTCAGGACCTATATATTGGTTACACCGGGTTATTGGAGGTGTCAAACCCTATCAGGACCTACATATTTGGTATACCGGGATGTTGGAGGAGGTGTCAAACTCAGTCAAGAAACTATGTTTTGGGTACATCAGGTTATTAGTGTGTCACATATTGTCAGTACGTACATATTTGGTATGTCGTGTTATTGGGGGTGTCAAACTCTGTCAGGAACTATACATCAGGTACACCGGGTTATTGCAGATGTCAAACAATGTAAGGACCTTTACATATTGGTTACAGTGGGTTATCGAGGCATCAAATTCTGTCAGGACCTATATATTAGGTACACCGAGTAATTGGAGGTTTCAAAGTCTGTCAGGACCTATATATTGGGTACACCCGGATATTAAATGTTTCGAACTCTGACAGGACCTATATGTTGGGTACATCGGGTTATTGTAGGTGTCAAACTCAATTAGGACCGATATATTGGCTACACCGGGTTATGAGAGGTTTCAAACTCTGTCAGGACCGATATATTGTTTACACCGGGTTATAAAAGGTGTCAAACCCTATAAGGACCTACATATTGGGTATACCGGGATGTTGGAGGAGGTGTCAAACTCGGTCAAGAAACTATGTTTTGGGTACATCAGGTTATTAGGGTGTCACATATTGTCAGTACCTACATATTTGGTATGTCGTGTTATTGGGGGTGTCAAACTCTGTCAGGAACTATACATCAGGTACACCGGGTTATTGCAGATGTCAAACAATGTAAGGGCCTATACATATTGGTTACACCGGGTTATTCGAGGCATCAAATTCTGTCAGGACCTACATATTGGGCATGTCGTGTTATCGGAGGTATGAAACTCTGTCAGAACCGATATTTTGGGTACACCGGGTTATTGAATGTGTCAAACTCTGACAGGATCTATAAATTGGGTACATTGGATTATTGGAGGCGTCAAATTCTGTCTGGACCTGTGTATTGGGTACACCGGGTAATTGGAGGCGTCAAATTATGTCTGGACCTTTAATTTAGGTACACCGGGTTATTGAATGTGTCAAACTCTGACAAGACCTATATATAGGGTACACCGGGTTATTGGAGGAGGCAAACTCTGTCAGGACCTATGTATTAGTAACACCGGGTTATGGGGGATGTCAAACATTGTCAATACATATATATTAGATAGTACGGGTTATTAAGGGTGTCAAACTCTGTCAGGACCTATATATCGGGTACACCGGGTTAATACGAGGCGTCAAATTATGTCTGGACCTTTGTATTGGGTACACCAGGTTATTGAATGTGTCAGACTCTGACAGGACCTATATCTTGGGTACACCGGGTTATTGGGGTATCCAACATTGTGTCAGGACCTATACATTGGGTACACCGGGTTATTGAATGTGTCAGACTCTGACAGGACCTATATCTTGGGTACACCGGGTTATTAAAGGTGTCAACCTTTGTCAGGACGTATAAAACGGGTACACCGGGTTATTGGAGGAGGCAAACTCTGTCAGGGCCTATAAATTGGTTACACCGGGTTATTGGAGGTGTCAACCTCTGTCAGGACTTATATATATTGGGTACATCGGGTTATTGGAGGCATCAAATTCTGTCAGGACCTATGTATTAGTAACACCGGGTTATGAGGGATGTCAAACATTGTCAAGACCTATATATTGGGTATTACGGGTTATTGAGGGTGTCAAACTGTGTCAGGACCTATATATCGGGTACACCGGGTTATTGGAGGTGTCAAATTCTGTCAGGACCTATATATTAGGTACACCGAGTAATTGGAGGTTTCAAAGTCTGTCAGGACATATGTATTGGGTACACCCGGATATTAAATGTTTCGAACTCTGACAGGACCTATATATTGGGTACATCGGGTTATTGTAGGTGTCAAACTCAATTAGGACCGATATATTGGCTACACCGGGTTATGAGAGGTTTCAAACTCTGTCAGGACCGATATATTGTTTACACCGGGTTATAAAAGGTGTCAAACCCTATAAGGACCTACATATTGGGTATACCGGGATGTTGGAGGAGGTGTCAAACTCGGTCAAGAAACTATGTTTTGGGTACATCAGGTTATTAGGGTGTCACATATTGTCAGTACCTACATATTTGGTATGTCGTTTTATTGGGGGTGTCAAACTCTGTCAGGAACTATACATCAGGTAAACCGGGTTATTGCAGATGTCAAACAATGTAAGGACCTTTACATATTGGTTACACCGGGTTATTCGAGGCATCAAATTCTGTCAGGACCTACATATTGGGCATGTCGTGTTATCGGAGGTATGAAACTCTGTCAGAACCGATATTTTGGGTACACCGGGTTATTGGATGTGTCAAACTCTGACAGGATCTATAAATTGGGTACATTGGATTATTGGAGGCGTCAAATTATGTCTGGACCTTTATTTTAGGTACAACGGGTTATTGAATGTGTCAAACTCTGACAAGACCTATATATTGGGTACACCGGGTTATTGTAGGTATCAAATCTGTCATGACCTATGTATTAGAAACACCGGGTTATGGGGGATGTCAAACATTGTCAAGACATATATATTAGATAGTACGGGTTATTAAGGGTGTCAAACTCTGTCAGGACCTATATATCGGGTACACCGGGTTAATAAGAGGCGTCAAATTATGTCTGGACCTTTGTATTGGGTACACCAGGTTATTGAATGTGTCAGACTCTGACAGGACCTATATCTTGGGTACACCCAGTTATTTAAGGTGTCAACCTCTGTCAGGACGTATAAAACGGGTACACCGGGTTATTGGAGGAGGCAAACTCTGTCAGGGCCTATAAATTGGTTACACCGGGTTATGAGGGATGTCAAACATTGTCAAGACATATATATTAGGTTTTACGGGTTATTGAGGGTGTCAAACTGTGTCAGGACCTATATATCGGGTACACCGGGTTATTGGAGGTGTCAAACTGTGTCAGGACCTATATATATTAGATACGCCGGGTTATTGGAGGTGTCAAACTGTGTCAGGACCTATATATTGGGTATACCGGGATGTTGGAGGAGGGTTCAAACTCTGTCAGGACCTATGTTTTGAGTACATCAGGTTATTAGGATGTCACATATTGTCAGGATCTACATGTTGGGTATGTCGTGTTATTGGAGGTGTCAAACTCTGTCAGGAACTAGTGAGGTACACGGGGTTATTGGGAGTGTCAAAATCTGTCAGAACCTTTAGTTTACGTACACAGGATGTTAGAGGCGTCAGGCCTGACAAGATAGCGCCAAGGTCAGCAAACACAGGTGGTCACTACAGAACGGGTCAAGAGTGAACTGGCCAGTCCATTAGTTTTTATGGAGAGGCAGGGGTAGACTACAGTGTAGCTAATCGACATTCTTACTGTTTTCTTACGTCACGTATTACTCCTGTAAATTAAAATACCATCATGGTAAAATGAAGCTCTCAGCCAAAATAAAAAAACCAAAACATATTTAGATAACTTTGATCACATAGACTCAATACAGCGTTATACTCACTGAAGTACTGATTTTAATACTGAATATTACTACCATTCAAACATAAACCTTGGTTTTACGGATCCCTGTACCACTGTCAACAACTGTTAACTATACTTTGCGGGACTTTTATAGAAATAATAAAGATGACAAGTTTAACCAATGACAGATTTCTGAGTATAACCCCAATGCTGGACTAGAGCGGGACTCGGACCATGAACTTCACATTGTTGTAATATCGCTGTTACCTACTGAGCTACCTGTTAACTAAAGTGTTATGGCCTCACATGTTCTACTGTGATATTGAAAATGAAATTAAGGGGAAGTAATTTATAACTGTATATACGAACTACAGTGCGATGGGACATGTGTGTAACCTGATCATTTTAAACTGGTAATTTAGAATGAATATTGAGTTTTGATAATAACAGCTAGGAGTGTAGAAAGGGAATGAGATATTCACTTTCATTCCACGGATTTTTTTCTGTTTACCTCGGTCCTAGTCGACACCACTTCACAGTGTACACGCGGACATTACATGTATCCGGTTTATCAGCATATTTATTGATAAAGGCTGCTCCGTCGCTACGTTTACGTCCACTAGAGCGCGAGGCGAGCACTACGAACAGGGCCCCAGATATAACGGCCACGATCGCGAGACAGGACACACACACATACACTTGTGGTATACGAGCCGCAGGCATGTCGTCGGGAGTTGCACTGACCGTTCCCATGCCAGGGAAGCCGTACCCTACTGTGGGACTAGGGACGTTTACTATATTTGCTAAAACCGTAAGTATAGTCATAGGTCATAGGTCATCGTAATATTTGATGGGGCACCGCTCAGCACCCTCCCCCCTCCCCGCCCTTCTGAAACTACAGTTCGTCCTCTCCCATAAACTGCCAGTATCACGTAACTACAATCCAATGCAGTTACTCCCTCCCCACCATGAGCATATCTCCCTAGCCAAACTCCCCAACACCTCACATTATCTATCCGAAACGAGTTACCTTATCTGTTAAGCAGACAACATCCAGCCGGTATATGAAATGTTTGTTTAATGATTACTAACACGTCTCTAGTATTGACGATTTAAAAGATTAGTTAGTTTACAGACATACGCTGTACTCTTTGATACTTTATGGACATGCAGTCTGACACCAGGTTCACAATCGTTCATAAACCTCAGTAAATTACTAATGAAAGGTCAACTAATCATTGCAACTGACGTTCGGGTAAATTATTTCAGTGAGATATATCAATAATTCCAGTAAAGCTTTCCTTCGGATACTTATGGAAAGACATTTCCATACGTTAAAGGGCAGATACAGGGACATCTTTAGATTAACGTTTTTCAGATGAGATTGTCTAAATCTTGTATTTTCAAGCCTTATGTACAATATTCAATAGAGAATTATAGGAGTACAATTTTTATAATGTTAGCACCGTGTTATTCTCAATGATCGTTATCATGACGTCACATTTAGAACATATCATAAATAAATAATTAGTCTAATGTCGCATATTACAACTTGGTATCATAGTTATATATCATATATCATATGCCATTACAAATATGGCATGGTACATTGTACACGAGTTATTTTTATTTTATTATCTCCAAAAAATGTAAAGTATGTATAACATGTACTATATCAACTAAACATGAACCAGCAATCACGTTCTTTATATTTTCCTTGGTTTGAAAGGGTGGCGCAGATGAAGTATGCAATGCGGTCAAGTTTGCCATTTCTGAAGGTTACCGACACGTGGACTGCGCACTCGTTTATGATAACGAGAAGGCTGTTGGGGACGGCATAAAGGCGAAAATCGACGACGGAACAATTACCCGGAATGATGTCTATTTAACTACAAAGGTATGCGACGTCAGAGCGTGTCCGGGTTGCTTCGGTTTAATGACGGATTGGTCAAGTTTGCCTTGTCATTTTGTTTGTAAACTACTCCGCAATGACGGATGTGGTTTATGACAAACGACAACAAGTCAGGCCTAAGAGACCAAAGACTATGTAAAAAGATGTTTTGTCATTGACAACGAAGAGAACTTTTTCTTTCACTATCCTTTACATGAACATACCCGATAAGATTAGTTTAGAATGTTTGTACCAAACGATGACACAGCGGACTCTCTCTCATCTGTGAACATCACTTTTGTCTTTCGACAACATGCAGCTGATACTATAGACTCTTGCTTATTTATTTAACAGTATTTCGAACTGAGTTGACTTGGCTTGCTGACTGTATAAGCCAATTGATAGCAAATTGCGCACTTTTCTTAACATGATATATACATATATATATATTCAAAGAGTATATTTCAAACTCGTCGTTATTGTATAAACATCTTTTGTTTATCTTCATATTTACCAAAGAGACATTTCTCTTTCTATCTTTTTTTTTCTAATGACGTCGAGTAATATATGAACTTCTTTATTGCCATAAACTTCTTTCGATACAATTACAGTTGTGAAACAATTGCCAGGGTGATTCTACATTTCCATAAAAATGGCCTTTTCCATCACATCTATTCATCAATTGCAGTTTTGCTTCTGTAAATCCTCTTTCACACAATGCAATGCTTCATCTCTTGAGATATCCTATTGTGTTTAGTATTGTCTCTGATATTGTCAAGTCTTTTACCTTGATAATTTGGTGTTTGGTTTTACGCTCAGGGATCAGTATTTTGCGAATCTTCTTTTCTTAAAGCATTTAAGGAAAATTGCATTGTAATTTTTTGAGTAGAAACATATCTTACTCTCTTTCTATCTAAATAGGTTAAGTGCCACAGTGTGTTTGATATTTCGGTATAACGCCAGCCTCAGGGCGTTTAAAACGTCATTAACGGATTTACTTCCTCACATGACAAAAGTACTAGATTTCGGGGTTCCTCAAGGGTCGGTGTTAGGATCACGGAAATATTGCCTGTACTCAAAACCGATTGGTGAGATTTGTCGGCGTCATAGCCTTCGCTTTCATTGCTATACTGATGACACACAAATTTACATGGTAGTTATACTACAAGACAGTTGCGATACAATTTCAGAAAATCTGGAAGCTTGTGTGACGGATATCAGTACCTGGATGAACACAAACATTATAAAGTTTAATCAGGAAAAGACGGAACTAATCGTCTTTTCCCCAAAGTTTCAGCAAACAATGGCTCCAGCTCAAGGTCGGTGCCAGAACTATTGAGACTGTCCAATCTGTTTAAAACCTAGGGGTATACGTTGATAGTTCACTGAACATGGAGACACAAGTGCATGCTATTGCCAAATCCTGTTACTACAAAATCAGGAACATCGGCTGTATTCGGCAGTTTATAACTGCAAATGCATGCAAGATTTTGGTGCATTCACTTGTTACCTCTCGGTTAGATTATGGTAACGCCCTGCTCTGTGGTACATGTATATCTGATAAACTAACTGGTCGTCTGCAGAAGGTCCATAACACTGCAGCACGGCTGGTTACTCGTACTCGAAAGAGAGAGCATATCACACCTGTGCTATATCCATTGCACTGGTTACCTGTACGATACAGGTCGCAGTACAAAATTTTGGTGTACACATACAAGTCACTGAATGGAACAGCTCCCCAATACCTACAGGAGCTTGTTACCCTGTATCAGCCGTCACGATCACTGCGGTCGGAGTCGGAATCATTGTTGTGTGTCCCAAAACCTCGTACTGTGTCCCAAGGAAACCGGTGCTTTGGGAAGGTTCGTCCACGTTGTGAAATAGCTTACCATCTGCTATAAGAAAGTCGAATACCCTGGCCAAATTCAAGAGGGACATCAAAACTCACCTCTTTACGTCTGCATTTTATGCTCTTTGCAAAAATGTCATGTAAATACCACCCTTTATTTGTTCATTTATGTTCACATGATGACTATTATCTACTTGCTTAAACGTATGAAAGTGATTGTAAGCCTTTGTTTTTGTTTCACAATTATAACTAATACTATTATCCATGTGTTGTAAAGCGCTTTAGAGTGATTTTACAAATCATATAGGGCGCTATATAAATGTTGTATATTATTATTATTATTATTAAAATCCTAACTAGAAGCGTTGTTTAACAGATCTCCCTATACTTAACTTATGAAAATGGATATCAACTGGGCATACATGTAATCATCATTAGTTAATTAATTTGTTTCTCCAACCACGCGAAGTAAATGAAGAAGTGACGTCATGCCGCTGGACTATACATATAGTAAAAATAGCAAATACATCTACCATTAATAAAAAGAGATTATGACATTTCATCATTCAAATATAAAAGTTTTGCTGTATGTAAACGTTACGCTTACAACATTGTGATAACTGCTCCTAGATCATTGAAACATATTTTACTGATAAATAACAATCAATCATCGAAGAGTACGACGTATATTGATGACGTCACATTTACAATATAGTTGTGTGTTACGTTGTAGCTATGGGATACGCATCATAACCCCGACCACGTGGAGGGAGCTCTGAGGAAGTCACTGCGCAGTCTCCAGACCGATTATGTCGATCTGTTTCTCGTGCACTGGCCGTTTGCATTCAAGGTAGTGTTAAAGTGAACCTATTCACGGTTCGGTTTTACAAGATACAAGAGTTTTTATTTAACGTCGCATATTTAAAACAGTAAATATTAGCACTGTTGTGCTATTCTTGCGACTTTTAAGATACCAAACTACTGTCTTAATCCCTAATTGAAATACTGAAATATCAAAGTGTCATGACACTCGAAGGAGGGAGTAAAATGTTTAACGTAACGTATGTATTGTCTATTCCTCAGTCGTGAAAAAAAAAAAAATATTTGAATAATGTGCAAGACATTTGATAATTATTTAACTTGTAATATGGGTAACTAAATATTCGTTCATTATATAAAGGATGGAGACGACCCTTTTCCCAAAGACGCCGACGGTAACATTATCTTCGCTGACCACGACTATGTTGACACGTGGAAGGTATGTACATGTATATACATGTATTAATAGCTATCACATTTACAGTGGCAGGCGAAAAAACATAAGTTTAATTGTCTATCCTAGACTATACTGTTAATGCAACTTCACTAACTTGGAGAGTACATTTACATGGTATATTTGTCTAACAGAGGTAGTATGATTGTGTAACTTGTGATAATACAGACATGTAATGAAAACATGAGTGTGTTGGTGGAGGGTAATGATCATGAATTCATTGAGTTTATTGACTACATTGAGTCTTAAAGATATATTGAGTTAGATATGTGTGTGATAACCCATTTTTATTCATGTTGTGTTGGCACAGTAAGGTTAAACTTACATTGAGTTTGTAGATGTTGTAATAACGGAGTAAGTTTATGAGACCACTGAGTTTGATTATTTTGTGACAATGGAGCAAGTTTATGAAAACATTGAGATTGATTATCTTGTGACATTGGAGCGAGTTTATGAATACATTGAGATTGATTATGTTGTGACAATGGAGCAAGTATATGAAAACATTGAGTTTGATTATGTTGTGACAATGGAGCAAGTTTATTAAAACATTGAGTTTGTAGATGTTGTAATAACGGAGTAAGTTTATAGAGACCATTGAGTTTGATTATGTTGTGACAATGGAGCAAGTATATGAAAACATTGAGTTTGATTATGTTGTGACAATGGAGCAAGTATATGAAAACATTGAGTTTGATTATGTTGTGACAATGGAGCAAGTATATGAAAACATTGAGTTTGATTATGTTGTGACAATGGAGCAAGTTTATAAATACATTGAGGTTGATTATGTTGTGACAATGGAGCAAGTTTATGAATACATTGAGATTGATTATGTTGTGACAATGGAGCAAGTTTATGAATACATTGAGATTGATTATGTTGTGACAATGGAGCAAGTTTATGAAAACATTGAGTTTGTAGATGTTGTAATAACGGAGTAAGTTTATAGAGACCATTGAGTTTGATTATGTTGTGACAATGGAGCAAGTTTATTAAAACATTGAGTTTGTAGATGTTGTAATAACGGAGTAAGTTTATAGAGACCATTGAGTTTGATTATGTTGTGACAATGGAGCAAGTATATGAAAACATTGAGTTTGATTATGTTGTGACAATGGAGCAAGTATATGAAAACATTGAGTTTGATTATGTTGTGACAATGGAGCAAGTTTATAAATACGTTGAGTTTGATTATGTTGTGACAATGGAGCAAGTTTATAAATACATTGAGGTTGATTATGTTGTGACAATGGAGCAAGTTTATGAATACATTGAGATTGATTATGTTGTGACAATGGAGCAAGTATATGAAAACATTGAGTTTGATTATGTTGTGACAATGGAGCAAGTATATGAAAACATTGAGTTTGATTATGTTGTGACAATGGAGCAAGTATATGAAAACATTGAGTTTGATTATGTTGTGACAATGGAGCAAGTTTATAAATACGTTGAGTTTGATTATGTTGTGACAATGGAGCAAGTATATGAAAACATTGAGTTTGATTATGTTGTGACAATGGAGCAAGTTTATAAATACATTGAGGTTGATTATGTTGTGACAATGGAGCAAGTTTATGAGACCACTGAGTTTGATTATTTTGTGACAATGGAGCAAGTTTATGAAATCATTGAGATTGATTATCTTGTGACATTGGAGCGAGTTTATGAATACATTGAGATTGATTATGTTGTGACAATGGAGCAAGTTTATGAGACCACTGAGTTTGATTATTTTGTGACAATGGAGCAAGTTTATGAAATCATTGAGATTGATTATCTTGTGACATTGGAGCGAGTTTATGAATACATTGAGATTGATTATGTTGTGACAATGGAGCAAGTATATGAAAACATTGAGTTTGATTATGTTGTGACAATGGAGCAAGTATATGAAAACATTGAGTTTGATTATGTTGTGACAATGGAGCAAGTTTATTAAAACATTGAGTTTGTAGATGTTGTAATAACGGAGTAAGTTTATAGAGACCATTGAGTTTGATTTTGATGTGAGAACGGAGTAAGTTTATGAAAACATTGAGTTTGTTAATGAAGTGATGGCATAGTGTATACTCAATACATTGAAATTGTTTGTATATGGTGTGCTGGTAAAATAAAGTAAAAGTACATTGAGTTTAATGAATACATTGAGTTTAACGAATACATTGAGTTTAATGAATACATTGAGTTTAATGAAAACATTGAGTTTACTTATTGAGTTGTCTTATCATTAAACATCATAGCTTATGAGGACACATATAACTTGATATCAAAATATTGCGGCTTTAAAACATAAATATTTCTTTAATTTACATATTTCAAGGCGATGGAGAAACTTGTCGGAGCAGGACTAGCTAAGGCCATAGGAATCTCCAACTTTAACAAAAAACAGATAGAAAGAGTGTTAGAGGTGGCAACGATAAAACCCGCAAATATACAGGTACGCCTTAATTAGTAAATTCACTTATCACAATCGTTATTTTCTATAGAACCAACAGTATACTTGTTCAAACTCTGAACTGCAAACTCAATAGTATATTTAGAAATAAAGAAATAATATATACTTAGATAACAATACCTTTTTCTAAATTTCACGATAAGCTTTAGACTCGTTTGAAGCTTTTAACATAGAAAATATAACACGTATTACTAATACAACGTTTGTGTTTGTAATTAATCGCTAACACATGAACTATATTATAGAATGTTTTTGGAATGATAGAGCGTTAAAATGTTCTCAAGAAATCAAATCAAGTGTTTACTACAAGAATGATTTTATCGTAATGTACTGTCAATATTAAGATGCTTGGATGTGTTTGTTTAGATTGAAAGTCACCCGTATTTCCTGAACGATAGACTGGTCACCTTCTGTAAGCAACATGGGATGACCGCCACCGCTTATGCCCCTCTTGCCAACCCCAGTAGAACATGGTACATGTGATTTATACTTCTAGAGGAATGAGATGATGTTATTACCACTCGCTGGCCCGACAATTCGGGGATAGGTGCTTAAGAACACAGAGCTTTAGCTGCTGTACATTATTGCGTCGATATTAACCCTTTCGTCACTGTAGACCATAATGGACTCAACCAGATCAATGCATTGTAGAGTCTACTAAAGTTACATAGGGGTGAAAGGGTTAAGAAGTTGTATATTGTGATATTGTTGTTGTTTTCTGTATTCAATTGGTAAATGCTTAAAATCAAATTCATGCTATTATATTGGAATCATCTTGTAAGAGGACTTACAGTGTATAATAGTTAGCACACACATATACAAAGTAAAACTGAACCGGTGATAGATACAGCTGTTAAAACGTAATTCTATATCTCTCTGTTTGGCAGTTATTACATGTACAAGGTAAATTTGATCAAAAAGAAAGTGAACGAGTCGTAAGAGAGTGTGATCAAATATAAATCATTTCCCTTTGTCTACTTTAATCTTTACATGTTATATAAAGAAATGTAAGCTGAGCATTTGGAAATCGTTATTTTAAGCATTAATTTCATGAAAATAAAAATGTAGCCTTTCGTGCCGAAAAGTATTACTGAGAAGTTAGCAAACATTGCTGTGTTAACTCTATGTGAATTGGTTCCGTGTATTAATCCTGCATGACTGAACCAGACAAATATATTATCCACACCCTTGCAGGAAGAGCCCAGACGAACCAATAATATTCGACGAACAGGTTTTGAAAGACATCTCCGCAGCAAAGGGAAAATCTATCGCTCAGGTAATAAATCATTTTTTAATGGAAGCAGAAATACCTCCCTTTGATCATAACTCTCCTTCTGTTTTACTATGCTTGTGCTGTCGATCAGTTTGGTATTTGAATAAATCGACATTTACAATCCATGTTGAAAAAATAATTGTTCGTTTGTGAAATTACAAAATATCATTAACCCCTATAATTGAACCATGCGGCGCGATCGTATGCATTTTATTTTTGTAATGGCAACAATTCTATCGGTCGACTTTTGAATATACAATTGTGCACAAGTTAAGACGACAGTTAGCTCCCTTGTCTTGTTTAAAGACAACATAGCACATATTTGATATGGTGATAAACTTCGGTTCATGAAATTGCTTCGTGACAACCCATATTATAGTTGTGATTCAGACATGTATGTTACTGATAGGGTGTTTCGTATGCATACAGATTTTTTGTGTTTTTAACAAAACTCGAAAGTTATTTATCGATGTCCTACCGTTCTGCAATATGGAGATAAATTACCACAGTGCTTTTCTTCACAGTCCTTACATTACACTGTGTTTATGTCCGGAAACTTATGAACATGTAACCATGTTATTTGAATAAAAGCTAAAATGTTTCGAGAGTTGCTTCAACGTTTTGGAATAAATGCAGAAACAACTGTCTGACGACAGGTCACTCAGGGCATACATGCTGCTAACAAGGCATACTGATCACAAACAATATGATTATGGAGTCACATGATTTAACACTGCTAAGTATATAATGACCTACTTTCATATTGCATGATGTAAACACTGTTAATGACCTACTTACATGATGTAAACACTGTTAATGACCTACTTACATGATGTAAACACTGTTAATGACCTACTTACATGATGTAAACACTGTTAATGACCTACTTACATGATGTAAACACTGTTAATGACCTACTTACATGATGTAAACACTGTTAATGACCTACTTACATGATGTAAACACTGTTAATGACCTACTTACATGATGTAAACACTGTTAATGACCTACTTACATGATGTAAACACTGTTAATGACCTACTTACATGATGTAAACACTGTTAATGACCTACTTACATGATGTAAACACTGTTAATGACCTACTTACATGATGTAAACACTGTTAATGACCTACTTACATGATGTAAACACTGTTAATGACCTACTTACATGATGTAAACACTGTTAATGACCTACTTACATGATGTAAACACTGTTAATGACCTACTTACATGATGTAAACACTGTTAATGACCTACTTACATGATGTAAACACTGTTAATGACCTACTTACATGATGTAAACACTGTTAATGACCTACTTACATGATGTAAACACTGTTAATGACCTACTTACATGATGTAAACACTGTTAATGACCTACTTACATGATGTAAACACTGTTAATGACCTACTTACATGATGTAAACACTGTTAATGACCTACTTACATGATGTAAACACTGTTAATGACCTACTTACATGATGTAAACACTGTTAATGACCTACTTACATGATGTAAACACTGTTAATGACCTACTTACATGATGTAAACACTGTTAATGACCTACTTACATGATGTAAACACTGTTAATGACCTACTTACATGATGTAAACACTGTTAATGACCTACTTACATGATGTAAACACTGTTAATGACCTACTTACATGATGTAAACACTGTTAATGACCTACTTACATGATGTAAACACTGTTAATGACCTACTTACATGATGTAAACACTGTTAATGACCTACTTACATGATGTAAACACTGTTAATGACCTACTTACATGATGTAAACACTGTTAATGACCTACTTACATGATGTAAACACTGTTAATGACCTACTTACATGATGTAAACACTGTTAATGACCTACTTACATGATGTAAACACTGTTAATGACCTACTTACATGATGTAAACACTGTTAATGACCTACTTACATGATGTAAACACTGTTAATGACCTACTTACATGATGTAAACACTGTTAATGACCTACTTACATGATGTAAACACTGTTAATGACCTACTTACATGATGTAAACACTGTTAATGACCTACTTACATGATGTAAACACTGTTAATGACCTACTTACATGATGTAAACACTGTTAATGACCTACTTACATGATGTAAACACTGTTAATGACCTACTTACATGATGTAAACACTGTTAATGACCTACTTACATGATGTAAACACTGTTAATGACCTACTTACATGATGTAAACACTGTTAATGACCTACTTACATGATGTAAACACTGTTAATGACCTACTTACATGATGTAAACACTGTTAATGACCTACTTACATGATGTAAACACTGTTAATGACCTACTTACATGATGTAAACACTGTTAATGACCTACTTACATGATGTAAACACTGTTAATGACCTACTTACATGATGTAAACACTGTTAATGACCTACTTACATGATGTAAACACTGTTAATGACCTACTTACATGATGTAAACACTGTTAATGACCTACTTACATGATGTAAACACTGTTAATGACCTACTTACATGATGTAAACACTGTTAATGACCTACTTACATGATGTAAACACTGTTAATGACCTACTTACATGATGTAAACACTGTTAATGACCTACTTACATGATGTAAACACTGTTAATGACCTACTTACATGATGTAAACACTGTTAATGACCTACTTACATGATGTAAACACTGTTAATGACCTACTTACATGATGTAAACACTGTTAATGACCTACTTACATGATGTAAACACTGTTAATGACCTACTTACATGATGTAAACACTGTTAATGACCTACTTACATGATGTAAACACTGTTAATGACCTACTTACATGATGTAAACACTGTTAATGACCTACTTACATGATGTAAACACTGTTAATGACCTACTTACATGATGTAAACACTGTTAATGACCTACTTACATGATGTAAACACTGTTAATGACCTACTTACATGATGTAAACACTGTTAATGACCTACTTACATGATGTAAACACTGTTAATGACCTACTTACATGATGTAAACACTGTTAATGACCTACTTACATGATGTAAACACTGTTAATGACCTACTTACATGATGTAAACACTGTTAATGACCTACTTACATGATGTAAACACTGTTAATGACCTACTTACATGATGTAAACACTGTTAATGACCTACTTACATGATGTAAACACTGTTAATGACCTACTTACATGATGTAAACACTGTTAATGACCTACTTACATGATGTAAACACTGTTAATGACCTACTTACATGATGTAAACACTGTTAATGACCTACTTACATGATGTAAACACTGTTAATGACCTACTTACATGATGTAAACACTGTTAATGACCTACTTACATGATGTAAACACTGTTAATGACCTACTTACATGATGTAAACACTGTTAATGACCTACTTACATGATGTAAACACTGTTAATGACCTACTTACATGATGTAAACACTGTTAATGACCTACTTACATGATGTAAACACTGTTAATGACCTACTTACATGATGTAAACACTGTTAATGACCTACTTACATGATGTAAACACTGTTAATGACCTACTTACATGATGTAAACACTGTTAATGACCTACTTACATGATGTAAACACTGTTAATGACCTACTTACATGATGTAAACACTGTTAATGACCTACTTACATGATGTAAACACTGTTAATGACCTACTTACATGATGTAAACACTGTTAATGACCTACTTACATGATGTAAACACTGTTAATGACCTACTTACATGATGTAAACACTGTTAATGACCTACTTACATGATGTAAACACTGTTAATGACCTACTTACATGATGTAAACACTGTTAATGACCTACTTACATGATGTAAACACTGTTAATGACCTACTTACATGATGTAAACACTGTTAATGACCTACTTACATGATGTAAACACTGTTAATGACCTACTTACATGATGTAAACACTGTTAATGACCTACTTACATGATGTAAACACTGTTAATGACCTACTTACATGATGTAAACACTGTTAATGACCTACTTACATGATGTAAACACTGTTAATGACCTACTTACATGATGTAAACACTGTTAATGACCTACTTACATGATGTAAACACTGTTAATGACCTACTTACATGATGTAAACACTGTTAATGACCTACTTACATGATGTAAACACTGTTAATGACCTACTTACATGATGTAAACACTGTTAATGACCTACTTACATGATGTAAACACTGTTAATGACCTACTTACATGATGTAAACACTGTTAATGACCTACTTACATGATGTAAACACTGTTAATGACCTACTTACATGATGTAAACACTGTTAATGACCTACTTACATGATGTAAACACTGTTAATGACCTACTTACATGATGTAAACACTGTTAATGACCTACTTACATGATGTAAACACTGTTAATGACCTACTTACATGATGTAAACACTGTTAATGACCTACTTACATGATGTAAACACTGTTAATGACCTACTTACATGATGTAAACACTGTTAATGACCTACTTACATGATGTAAACACTGTTAATGACCTACTTACATGATGTAAACACTGTTAATGACCTACTTACATGATGTAAACACTGTTAATGACCTACTTACATGATGTAAACACTGTTAATGACCTACTTACATGATGTAAACACTGTTAATGACCTACTTACATGATGTAAACACTGTTAATGACCTACTTACATGATGTAAACACTGTTAATGACCTACTTACATGATGTAAACACTGTTAATGACCTACTTACATGATGTAAACACTGTTAATGACCTACTTACATGATGTAAACACTGTTAATGACCTACTTACATGATGTAAACACTGTTAATGACCTACTTACATGATGTAAACACTGTTAATGACCTACTTACATGATGTAAACACTGTTAATGACCTACTTACATGATGTAAACACTGTTAATGACCTACTTACATGATGTAAACACTGTTAATGACCTACTTACATGATGTAAACACTGTTAATGACCTACTTACATGATGTAAACACTGTTAATGACCTACTTACATGATGTAAACACTGTTAATGACCTACTTACATGATGTAAACACTGTTAATGACCTACTTACATGATGTAAACACTGTTAATGACCTACTTACATGATGTAAACACTGTTAATGACCTACTTACATGATGTAAACACTGTTAATGACCTACTTACATGATGTAAACACTGTTAATGACCTACTTACATGATGTAAACACTGTTAATGACCTACTTACATGATGTAAACACTGTTAATGACCTACTTACATGATGTAAACACTGTTAATGACCTACTTACATGATGTAAACACTGTTAATGACCTACTTACATGATGTAAACACTGTTAATGACCTACTTACATGATGTAAACACTGTTAATGACCTACTTACATGATGTAAACACTGTTAATGACCTACTTACATGATGTAAACACTGTTAATGACCTACTTACATGATGTAAACACTGTTAATGACCTACTTACATGATGTAAACACTGTTAATGACCTACTTACATGATGTAAACACTGTTAATGACCTACTTACATGATGTAAACACTGTTAATGACCTACTTACATGATGTAAACACTGTTAATGACCTACTTACATGATGTAAACACTGTTAATGACCTACTTACATGATGTAAACACTGTTAATGACCTACTTACATGATGTAAACACTGTTAATGACCTACTTACATGATGTAAACACTGTTAATGACCTACTTACATGATGTAAACACTGTTAATGACCTACTTACATGATGTAAACACTGTTAATGACCTACTTACATGATGTAAACACTGTTAATGACCTACTTACATGATGTAAACACTGTTAATGACCTACTTACATGATGTAAACACTGTTAATGACCTACTTACATGATGTAAACACTGTTAATGACCTACTTACATGATGTAAACACTGTTAATGACCTACTTACATGATGTAAACACTGTTAATGACCTACTTACATGATGTAAACACTGTTAATGACCTACTTACATGATGTAAACACTGTTAATGACCTACTTACATGATGTAAACACTGTTAATGACCTACTTACATGATGTAAACACTGTTAATGACCTACTTACATGATGTAAACACTGTTAATGACCTACTTACATGATGTAAACACTGTTAATGACCTACTTACATGATGTAAACACTGTTAATGACCTACTTACATGATGTAAACACTGTTAATGACCTACTTACATGATGTAAACACTGTTAATGACCTACTTACATGATGTAAACACTGTTAATGACCTACTTACATGATGTAAACACTGTTAATGACCTACTTACATGATGTAAACACTGTTAATGACCTACTTACATGATGTAAACACTGTTAATGACCTACTTACATGATGTAAACACTGTTAATGACCTACTTACATGATGTAAACACTGTTAATGACCTACTTACATGATGTAAACACTGTTAATGACCTACTTACATGATGTAAACACTGTTAATGACCTACTTACATGATGTAAACACTGTTAATGACCTACTTACATGATGTAAACACTGTTAATGACCTACTTACATGATGTAAACACTGTTAATGACCTACTTACATGATGTAAACACTGTTAATGACCTACTTACATGATGTAAACACTGTTAATGACCTACTTACATGATGTAAACACTGTTAATGACCTACTTACATGATGTAAACACTGTTAATGACCTACTTACATGATGTAAACACTGTTAATGACCTACTTACATGATGTAAACACTGTTAATGACCTACTTACATGATGTAAACACTGTTAATGACCTACTTACATGATGTAAACACTGTTAATGACCTACTTACATGATGTAAACACTGTTAATGACCTACTTACATGATGTAAACACTGTTAATGACCTACTTACATGATGTAAACACTGTTAATGACCTACTTACATGATGTAAACACTGTTAATGACCTACTTACATGATGTAAACACTGTTAATGACCTACTTACATGATGTAAACACTGTTAATGACCTACTTACATGATGTAAACACTGTTAATGACCTACTTACATGATGTAAACACTGTTAATGACCTACTTACATGATGTAAACACTGTTAATGACCTACTTACATGATGTAAACACTGTTAATGACCTACTTACATGATGTAAACACTGTTAATGACCTACTTACATGATGTAAACACTGTTAATGACCTACTTACATGATGTAAACACTGTTAATGACCTACTTACATGATGTAAACACTGTTAATGACCTACTTACATGATGTAAACACTGTTAATGACCTACTTACATGATGTAAACACTGTTAATGACCTACTTACATGATGTAAACACTGTTAATGACCTACTTACATGATGTAAACACTGTTAATGACCTACTTACATGATGTAAACACTGTTAATGACCTACTTACATGATGTAAACACTGTTAATGACCTACTTACATGATGTAAACACTGTTAATGACCTACTTACATGATGTAAACACTGTTAATGACCTACTTACATGATGTAAACACTGTTAATGACCTACTTACATGATGTAAACACTGTTAATGACCTACTTACATGATGTAAACACTGTTAATGACCTACTTACATGATGTAAACACTGTTAATGACCTACTTACATGATGTAAACACTGTTAATGACCTACTTACATGATGTAAACACTGTTAATGACCTACTTACATGATGTAAACACTGTTAATGACCTACTTACATGATGTAAACACTGTTAATGACCTACTTACATGATGTAAACACTGTTAATGACCTACTTACATGATGTAAACACTGTTAATGACCTACTTACATGATGTAAACACTGTTAATGACCTACTTACATGATGTAAACACTGTTAATGACCTACTTACATGATGTAAACACTGTTAATGACCTACTTACATGATGTAAACACTGTTAATGACCTACTTACATGATGTAAACACTGTTAATGACCTACTTACATGATGTAAACACTGTTAATGACCTACTTACATGATGTAAACACTGTTAATGACCTACTTACATGATGTAAACACTGTTAATGACCTACTTACATGATGTAAACACTGTTAATGACCTACTTACATGATGTAAACACTGTTAATGACCTACTTACATGATGTAAACACTGTTTATGACCTACTTACATGATGTAAACACCGGTAATAACATATTGACATGATGTAAATACTTTAACTGACCTTCTTTCCTGATGTAAACACTGTTATGACCTACTTACAGGTGGTGCTAAGGTTCCACCTACAGAGGGGTCTCGTTGTTATTCCAAAAAGTATTACTCCGGCCAGGATCAAAGAAAATCTACAAGTATGTATTCTAGTCTATGATCAGTTTGATGTATCAGAAACTCAATTATTAAAATCGGTTATTGATATTGTAGAAATTGTAATCAATACGATTTATGTATAGATTATTCATCTTAGATTTGAAGGAAAGATGGTTAAGATTTTCTTTTATTTATATATACCATCCTATGTAATACAATTTAAATTACATTTGAAGTTGTAATAAATATTAAGATAATAGCGATGCAACATTTACCGACCGGGAACTGATCCTGCGATTTTTTTTCTCCTTATGGGACTTTAACTGCAATGTTGAGAAACTTTCCAAGAAAAATCAGTTATGCCTCACATGATGTGGACAGATTGGATATTTTCCCCAGAAGGATCTTTACTGTTGTATTTTTGAAATAACCAAAAATAACTTGTGTAAAACCTATGTTACAAATTAGAATAAAACATTTGCATTAAAATGAATACGTTATTTATTCAGTTATACGACTTTGACCTTTCCGAGTCCGAAATGCAGCAAATAGCTGGATTAGATAGAAATCTTCGCTTCTTCAAGGAAGGGATGTGAGTATAAACAGTATAGCTCCTGCTAACTCGACAGTTTAACCAATGTGATTAGGCCAATTGTTTTTTACATGTGTTTCCCGTTTCCCGACCGACCTTATTTTTTTCATGCCGACCCTTAAAGAAGTGGATTTAGGAGTCTTGAGGAAGGAGGTTGAGTTAGGGAGAGAAAAGATATGTTTATAAGATTTTAAAATATTGAAATACAGCATCTAACCAAGTAGGATAGATGTGTTATCCAACATAAGGCTGTCAGACGTCAGATACACGTTTTATAGATAATATGTTTAATCAGAAAGCTGACGCCAGAACGTTCACCGCACAAGTAAGACGCATCAAAGAACACTTGTAAATAAAAGAGAGCTAGCATAACATAAACGTAGAACAGTAAACAGAAACAACATTCCACTACTCTATATTCGAAGCCCTTCTGAAAAATTCGACAAAGAACTCAACAGCTGTAAATTCCATGTCTGTTGAACTCTTTGGGCCTCGAATGTTGAGTAGTGGAATGCTGCATTTTAAGGAGTTATTTCTGTTGACTTTTTCGGTTACGTTTTTTGTAGAGATGGTAAATATACAGGGTTTGTTCTCGTCATTCTCTAGCACTGCCTACAGGGGGAAGGGGGGGGGGGGGGGGGGGNCGGCTAAATGAATTGTCATAAAATATGAACCAGTACTTTTGAAGTATTTATGTAAACAATATCGTAATAGAGATCGGTACATTGATTGATTTCTACAATATTTCTACATACTAGTGTTACAGTTGTACTGCCTGGTTTTGAGTGTGGCGTTAAACATTATATCTGTCCATATATTTTGTTTTATTGCAGGGCGGCAAGTCACAAATATTACGGTTTCCACGACGAATTCTGAGGCACTGTCAATCAAGAAAAGTGACGCCATTACGACCATCATGGTACAAACAGGACGGTTGATGTGATTTGTTATTATTTCGATAACAGTCCCTGTATGATTCCTGTCGTACCCGCCTGCTGGCCATAGACAAAGAATGTCTCTTTCTCGTGAAGGAACATATTTTACTCTCTGTAACAAATTGTCAATAAAAACAACTTTCAGTAAAAGAAATTTGGTGATTTTTGTATGTGAATCTTCACAATTTAAGATTTTGATCCGATAGATTGCTTGCATACATATTGGCTAATTAGGTCCGGATTGAGCACAATCACAACATGAACCCTCTACTTGTTACGACCAGCAAGGTGCCTGGTCAAAGGTGAAATCCCCCGAAGACAGAATGAATTAGGCAACACATTACGTTTGAAAGTCGTGTAATGTTATTATTGCTCTCCTCTCTTAATATCATAGATATAGATTACTTTCTGAATAGGTTATCTCCCTTACACTACTGATAATCTGTAACCTGTCTGATAACTGAAGTTATAATCGTTTCTTCTTATAACTATAGTGTACTAGTATATGAATAAATCTTAAAAAATATAACGAGATTGTCTCAAATGATTGATTTTATGTTCTGTCTGGTGAGATAAATCTCCATTTACATACTGTATATAATTATTTGTATATACGTATTTAATATAATTAATTTGTTTATCTGCTTCAATTGGATTTTTTAAATTTTATACTGACTTATATTTGAACATGTTACAATGAATTCAGGAAACTACTGTTATTAATTGTGTTGATAATACTTAAGTTCAGTATACCAGTCCCTATGAAATTTATATTTAATATATCAAATTGATGTTTTCCAAATTCTGGTAATATTATTTTTCATTAGTCCCTACTGTTATTTCTTTCCTCAAGTTTCTGCATAATTTGCTTTTTTTGGTGTGTTAGTGGTATGTAAGTATGTTTGTGTGTGATTGTAAGCTATGTTATAGATCTTGCTTTATTACTGCCTGTAATACCATTATGATATCACTACATATAAACTCAAGATATTATACAAAGTATACAGTCTGTTTGTTATAAAACTACTACTTCTGATGTCAGGAAATATTCACTCTAATCCAGGTCCCTCATCAATCAGTATTAATCAAAGAAACTACTATAATGATTTATCAATAATGCACTTAAATGTTAGGTCTCTACGGGACAAGGTTGATCTTATAGATACTGAATTCACTGACTATGACATCCTATGTCTTACAGAAACTCACCTGAATAATGAAATCACTGAATCTGATTTGCAAATTAAATCACATCCTAACTCATATCGTAGAGACAGACAATCACAACACGGTGGTGGTATTATGATATATACTAAAAACAACCTCTTAATAAATCACAGAACTGATCTTGAAACTGAAGACATAGAACTTGTCATCCTAGAAATTAACACTTCTAACAAAAAAATACTTCTCTGCTGTCTTTATAGACCTCCTAATACAAAAATAGATTACTGGAATAAACATTTTGGATAATCTTTCTAATACTAATCTTAATATCATTATCACTGGTGACATAAATGTTGACTTTATAACAATGAAACCTAATTCACATCTTGCAAGATTAATTACTAAATATCACTTCAAAAACTGCAACCTTAATTGATGTATTTATTACTAATAATGTTAACATTTTCAACTCAACACAAGGACTTTCCCTTCACTGTAGTGATCACTGCCCCATTCTTGCTAACATTTGTTTTGAAACACTAAAAAATAAACCATTCAAGAAACCTATATATAAATTCAATGAAGCTAATTTGGATGCTTTTAATAATGAACTACTTAGTAATGATTGGGATTCCATAGTTAATAACACTTCTAGCATTAATGAACTATATTCTACTGCTATAAACAAAATAAACTCTGCTACTAACTCCCATATACCTCATAAACAATTACTATCAATCCTGATGACAAACCTTGGATGACTGGTGAAATTCGGCATAAATTAAGATATAAGAATAGATTACATAGAATAGTTAAAAATAAAGATAGGGAACAAGATTGGGCAAAATTTAGAACTTGTCGCAATGACACCATAAAAAAAAATCGACAATCTAAAGAAAATTACTTTAAGAAACTTCAAAATTATCTTGCTGACAAAACAATGCATCCAAGAAAATGGTGGCAGATAGCGAACTCTATAGGAAAAATTACTAACACTAGCACTAATTCTTATCCAAAAATCTAACAATAAAATTTTAATCCATCCACAAGATAAAGCTGAAGCACTAAATAACTGTGTAACCACCATTGCCTCTGATATTACTGACACCAACCTACCTGACTTACCTCCCTTATGTCCATTTGAACTTTCTAATATTAACATAACTGAACAAGATATAACTGACCAATTTGACATTTTTAATAAAAACAAACCAGCTGGTCCTGATGGTAATATACCTATGATTGTAAAGAACATTTCCTCTTCTTTAGTATACCCACTCAAACTACTATTTAATAGAACTTTATCTATTGGAGTAATACCTGATGTACTAAAAACTGCTAATGTTACTGCTCTCTATAAAGGTAAAGGAGATGTCAGTGATCTCAATAAGTATAGACCTATTGCTATAACATCTATATTTATCAAAATGTTAAAAAAAATACATCAGTCAGGATTTCAACCCAAAGACCACTACTAGTCAACTAGCTGATATCTATAATACTATAAGTAGTAATTTAGACCAAGGTAAAGATTTGCGTTTTGTTTTCTGTGACATAAATAAAGCATTTGATCGTGTATGGCATTTGGGCCTATTATATAAACTAAAAACATATGGTATTAAAGGTAAATTATATGATTGGTTACTTATCTGACAGAAAACAAAGGGTTATCTTTGAAGGTTATAAATCTAGTACCAAACCTATTTCTACAGGGGTTCCTCAATGATCTGTCCTTGGTCCCTTCCTCTTTCTTCTTTTTATTAATGATATTACTAACAATGTAACCTCTCATATACATCTCTTTGCAGATGATACCTCTCTCTATGTTATAGTAAATAATAGCAATGACCTTACAACACCTACTAACATGCTTAATGATGATTTAGAATCGATCCCTGAATGGTCAAAGCAATGGCAGATCCTATTCAATCCGAATAAGACTGTAGCTATTAACTTCTCTTGTAGACACATTAACAATCATCCTCAACTGCTATTTAACAATACTTCAATTGCACAACATGAACACCATACTCACTTAGGACTAACATTTAACAGTAAAGGGACATGACCAGATCACATTTCAAATATTAATAAAAAAGCTAACTCTAGACTAAGTATTCTTAGAATTTTAAAAACTACAGTTGATAGGAATACATTAAAAACATTATATGTCTCTTATATGAGACCTGTGTTAGAATATTCTGATATAGTATGGGATAATTATACCAAATCTGAATCAGATCTGTTAGAATCAGTTCAACTGGAAGCTATGCGTTTAATTACTGGCCTCAGACGAGGTACATCTCAACACATACATTACACACACGAAAACAAAATCATAAACTAACATTAATGTATAAGATTCTTAATAATTACACTCCAACTTATCTCGATAATATCATTCAACCATTTCTAAACGTAAATAAAAACTATACCTTCAGAAATAACAGATTCTTTAATATACCACAGACATGAATAGCTTCTTCCCTTCTACAATGGTAAAATGGAATGCACTTGATAGCACCGTACGATACTCTATCTCAATTTCATCTTTTAAAAGAAACTTAAAGAAACTTTTAATATTTCTGTCTCAGAAACTTTTATTAACTGTGTTCCGAGGAAACTTAACATCATTTTATGTCAGCTAAGAAATTTTAAAAGTGATCTTAATTTTGATAAGTTACAAGACCATCTGATTGATGATGCTTCCTGTGTATGTGGTGTACAGAGGGAAGATCTAATACATTTTTTCTTTCCATGTCCTCTGTATTCAAATATTAGGCATCATATTACCACTATTCATAATCTAGTAGGATATTTAAATCTGCACTGTTTATTATATGGTATAAGTAACGCATCTGACCAATTAAATAAAACTATTCTTCATCAAAACGTTTTGTTACTTATACGTGCTAGATAAATTCCAAATTAATATTCATGTATTGTTATTATTATTATTATTCAGGCAAGTTTTGTCCCTTGAATAATGAGTATTAGACATAAGCTGGTGTGTGTGAGAGGAAAACGAATTACAACATTTTATATATTTAAGCATTGTACATAGCTCCCGGAAAAAGAAGAAGACTGTTATAGGCATAGCATGTTGTCTAATTCTTTTGTTAATACCTTCTAATATCTTCTTTAATGTTAACTTATATGTTTGTATTATACATGTTTTGTCAATAAAATACTTTTGAAATTGAAATCCCTTAATAAATCAATGTTAAACCCAGGCTTCTTAAAGGGACGCTACTCTGTGTTCCCTACATTCTCTGAAGTAAATTATACTAATACATTCCTTTATTTCAATTTATTTCATTTTAGTTTTATTTGAAAAATAATAATTTGACTTATAAGCAAGGCCATTAGAATCCATGAAGATGTTTTTTTCCAAGTAAAATTTCGAGCATTTGCTTTCGAGAAACTTTGGTGACAGACGTATACCAAGGATAACGTGATGCACAGGAGAAAGGGCTTTAACTATGTATGTGATGATGCACGAGACTGTGACACACTGGAGAAAGGGCCTTAACTATGTATGTGATGATGCACGAGACTGTGACAAACAGGAGAAAGGGCCTTAACTATATATGTGATGATGCGCGAGACTGTGACACACAGGAGAAGGGGCCTTATAACTATGCATGTGATGATGCACGAGACTCGTTTCATTACGCATTATTCATGTATTCAAGAGGTATACGTATACACAGTTTGGCTATTGTATCGTACGTAGGTAACATAGTTCTTTGGATGGACAGACGGAGTTCAAAACTAGATACCCTCCAGTAGTACTAGGGGACTAAACGAACACTCGAAGTAATGTTTTATTTCCAACTGTCCTCGATTCATACCCAATAGGTTATCTTTACCTGTGGATACATCGACATTTAGAAGTAATTACTATCGACATTTAGAAGTAATTACTATGCTGGATGTTTTATACAGGTAAATCTTTACTTTGTTGATTGAATTATTAGCTCAACT